AGTCTTTGAGGCGAAATTGACTAAATAAGAATTCTTTCACCTAGTTGATTAGTTGAAGACAACTACCCGTGATCACCTTATCATCAACATACACCAAGACATAAACGTAGGAAGCTCCACGAGACAAAGAAAAGAGAGAGTAATCTGCAAATAATTAAGTAAATCCAATAGCAAGTAAAGCATGAGAAAATTTGGCAAACCAATTACGTGATGCTTGCTTAAGACCATAAAGAGATTTGTTCAACTTGCAGACAAGGCCATGCTCCCTCTTTTAAGGATATCCAGAGGCAATGACATATACACTTCTTCATGTAAATCACCATGGAGAAAGGCATTATGAACATCTAATTGATGTAGGGGCCATTGTTTCATAGCAGCAATAGCCAAAAGAACCCGAACTGTCACAAGCTTAGCCACAAGTGCAAAAGTATCATGATAATCAATACCTTCAACTTGTGTATAACCTTTAGCAACAAGACAAACTTTGTATCGATCGGTGCTACCATCAGATTTCCTTTTAATTTTGTAAACCCATTTGCAACCAACTGGTTGTTTATCAGGAGGCAAAGAAACAAGAGACCATGTGTGAGTGTCTTCTAAGGCATTAAGTTCAATGTTTTAGTAGACTTTTAGTTGCTATTTTTTCTGCTCTAAAACCCTTTGTTATTGCTTTACTTTTGCTGCCCTTTAGGCTGCTTAAATGCTTGCCCATTTTTGCTCAACTTTAACTTGTGTTCTACCTTGTTTTGTTGTTATCTTTTGCCTAGAAATCCCTACTATTCAAGGCTTATTCCAAGCATTTTGGGACTACTTTAAATGGCAAAAAAAACCCCCCACTTTGCTGCCCAATACTTCTGCTGTGTCTAGAATAGATAAGAGCTCAATTTCTCACAATTTTCCACCTTATTTTGTCTAGAAAATATGTTTAGGATACCTGCTGTTTGTGTGTCTTTTTTGAGCTATTTTAAGCATATTCTAAGTATTTATTTGATGTGGTATAGGTTTCAAATCACCTCAAGCACCTTGACTTCTTAAATTCCTTACTTCTTGTATACCTACAAGACGAGGTAAGTAAATTTGTGGTAATGCCTTGAATTTTAAGATAAAAGCTTTAAAAGCATATTTTAAACTGTTTTTCAGATGGTGAAAGGATTTAAACTGATTTTTTAGCATATGAGCATGATTGATTCAAAATAAAGTTGTTAATATGTTTATTGAGTTGAGCATGCTTATTGGGATTTTATTTGATTGTCCTGATGATCTGGATATTATTTGTAAATTATGGTTTTCCTATTAACTCTTGCCTGGTTTTGTCTCCAATATGGTCATATTTTACTGTGGCTGTTAGTGGGAGGTTTATAAACGCTAACACATGTTGACATGTATTCCTAGGAACTGGTTCATCTTGTATTCCTGTCAATGGGATAATACACTAGTTACTACTATACCTGCCAGTGGGAGGTTTATAAACGCTAGCCATGACCTATAGAGGAGACATCTACTTCATTCATGTACTTGTACCCATTTTCTTTTATACTTGATTACACTTGTTGGCATGCTATAAATTTTTAATTAAGGGCTATCCATATTTTTACTTCCTGAGTTATCTCACAAAGTTTTTTTCCTTGTCCACCATTTCAGGAACTAAAACCAAAGATGTGGGAAAACTGAGGGGAGTGATGAGTTAGAAGGCTAGCCAATTTATTTGAATTTAGATTATTTTGTAATTAGGTTTGTAAGCTAAATTTTATTTTGAGATTTTTGCAAAATTGTTCCATGGATTGTTAGTTATGAATTTAGCAAGTTTCAAGCCTTGTGCATTTATGGGATTCTTTTATAAGTGTATGACATCTGTTTCGCTCTCGGTTTTGGGGCTTGATAGTTGGGTTTGCTATCCATAGTAAGGGATCACCATTTTCCAACACTTTTTGGTAAGAAATCAACCTTATTGCTCATTTTTTTATCCTTAATTCGAATTGGGTTAACTCTAATCTTTTAGGGTTTTCAATTTTGGGATTTTTCTGTAGTTTTCCTCCTTGGTTTTGCCATAGTGCCACCAGATTTGATTCCTTTTGCTAGGAATTTTGATAGCATGACCATTCAATAGTGTTTTGCCCATAACTCTTTCTCTAGTTATCAGATTGAGTTCATTCTTGATTCTATGGAAAGTTAAGAGATAGACCTACAATATTTATGTTAAACATTAGTTATCAAGCTAGACTTTATTATAAGATTGTGGATCTTAATTTAGTGGATTGCCAAGTATGAATAAAGTAGGTTCTAAGCCTTGTGCATTTGTGGGACTCTCTCACAAGTGTACAGCGTCTGTTTTGCTCTCAGTTTTAGGGCATGATACATACGGAGGAGGTTGTCGTGGACTGCCCAAATAAAGATTGCCACCATCTCTTAATGCCCTTAGTACCATGGTAATGAAAGCATCTCACCTTCTTTATATGGATTCAATTCTAGATTTTAGAATCACTCTCTTTCTCCTCCCTTATTTTCCTTTTTTTGCTTTCTTATTTTGATTAGGATTTGGATTGCTAAAACCAGATCAAACCTAGATTAAGTTTTGAACTTTGTGTGTGGTATAGAGAACCCAAATTGGCTACTATAGTCTGTATATGGGAATCAATCAAACCCTAATCTAGGTTGTAGAACTCGCATGGAATTAATCTAAGCCTTCAAGGATAGATAGCAAGGCTTCATTGTTATAGCTTGCTTTAGGTCTTGATTTGCAATCCAAAAATCCATTTGAAGAAGATAAAGATTAGTTTTTGATTGTAGGTTAAGGATTTCTGGGATTTGAGAATATTTAACAATAGGATTTTTCATTTTCTGTTCTCGTGGAAAATCTTTGATGTGGTGTGTGTGAATTCTCAATTTTGATGGTTTAGTGATGCTGAAAACTAGAAATATGAAGAAATTGGTTTTTCTAAGATCATGATTCTAATAAAATTGTTGGTTTTTACATGCAAATATGCGAGAGAGGAGCAACGAAGATTAAAGGAATATATTTTTTGTTGGAGCTTATTGAGAAACTCATATTTTAATCTAGGTTTTCCATCAAAGAAGATGAGGATGAGTTCTCCGGTGGCGAACCCAAATTCAAAGCCTTGATTTTCCAAAAGAATATAAGTTTTAATTATGAGTTAATTCCATATTTATTAGTAACAAATATATAAATAATTAAAATCATGCAATTTTTTTTGGCCTTCATCAAAATCATAGAATTTAATTTAAGAGAAATGGGTCCATTTAGCCATGTCAACAATACATGCTTGTTCTCTTTACCATGTCATCATTTAAATTTAAAAAGTTCAAATTCGTGGCAAGTTAACATGACATATGGCAAGTCAATTGATAGAAGGATCAAGTTGGTAGCAGAAAAATGAAGTTTAAGGATGATTTTGGTAATTTTTAAAGTTTAGGGATGAACTTGTCCAAAAATAAAAGTTGAGGGACCAAGTTGGGTATTTAAGCAAAGATAAATTAAGTGCATGTGATTGGATGAACTATCTTAATTTGTGTGTGAGAACTAGGGATGTTCAGTCCAATTGATTTGACTCAAACTGATGTAATCTAATTAAAAATTAAATCAACTTGATATAAAATTGAGTTAATTTAAATTATAAAATTATAAAATTGATATAATTTGTTTAATTTGTGATTTTACCTTCAAATCACCTGAATTGTCTGATTATAAAATAAAATGCAATTACAAGATAACTTAATTAAATAATATAATATTTTTTTATAGTATTTTAAATTTTCTTTTTCTTGTTTTACAAGTTAATAACTTCATTAACTTAAGTACAAAATAAAAATAGAACATCCTCATATTCCCTAATTTATTTTTCCTTCTTAATCATACACTCTAACCCTAATTTTAAATTTCTAATTCACATACAATTTAATCCCTCAAAATTGGTTTGTAACTCTGGTCCTAGAACTTTGAATTTCTAATTTGTTCATACAATGATATTTTGATTTTCCAAACTAAGCCTTAAAGAAACATCATTCAAGAAGTAAAACTTCATGATAAAACCAGTCTTAATATTTTGCTATTCTTGGATGTTGGGTTGAAGAGTTTTAAATTTTGATTACAAATGCTTCTAATCAATCCTAGTGATATTCATTTTAAAATTTATTTGCTTAACATAGTTTAGAAGATGAGATTGAGTCATTGGTGCATTAAAAAAATTAGTTTTAACCTTTAAGAATTACTTGCACTGTGTTTACAACTTGGACTCATCTTTTATTATATATCCTTGCTGCCTCTAATGATGTAACCAATAAGAATTTTAAAATTTTTTCGTTCTTTACAATTGTAAAGTGGTATAAGAACATTTATAATTTGTATTTTTTTTAATTATATTTCTACTTATTTAAATGTTAATGTATTTTATAATTATATTTTTCACTTAATGTTAAAATTTTTTATATATTATCTTATATATTTAATAATTTAAAAAATTGATCTATCTGACCGAACCATACCAAGACCATTTAAGTTGAGTTAATTTGATTATCATATAATAGTAAATTAGATTGGTTTACAAATTTTATCATTTAGTTAAACTGAATTGATTTTAAAAATATTAAAATCTGAATCAAGCTGCACCGTCAACACCCTTGGTTAGAACAATAATTATTTAATCTTTGATAATAGCACAACATAATATATACATATATAGAGAGAGAGATAAGAGTATCTCTTGTATTTCAATTTAATAGAAAAAAATTTTGAACTATCAAAAAGATAAAAAAAAAAAAACCTTTAACCAAATAAGATGCATAAAATTTAAGATTATTATTACCATAACAATTTCATTTGTGATAGCAAATGAAACATAAACCTTAAAAAGTAACTAATTCATAAACACTACAACACTAGATTGCGTTCGGTGAAATTTTAAAAACGAATTTTTTTCATAAATTTTAAAATTAGAAGAAAATTAAAAAATTAATTTTTAAATTTTCTTCTAATAAATTTTTAAATTTGTGAAAAAAATTTATTTCTGAGCAACTTATTTTTTTAACCTCAGCCAAACAACGTCTTAATACCTTAACCAAACTAAACCGACCGACACAACATATATAATATAATTACGAACATAAGATGAACATGGTTTTCCTTGCTTAACCTATATGAGCTTCTCTTCTTTGTGTGTCTCAATTTCAACATCACTCAGAGGTGTAGCCACACAGGTCAGAATGTAACCTTCCTCGATCTGCTTGTCACTGAGGGAGCTAGCTTTGCGCTGGTCAACTCTGCCCTTAATAAGCTTTCCGGCACAGGAATAGCAAGTACCGTCATTGCACGTGGATGGCAGCTCAATATGATTTTTCCAAGCTTGTGTGACAATGTCAACGTTTTCTGGGCAGTCGAATGGCTGCTGTCGGCCGCCCTCAGGAGTGATGAGCACGACTTTGTGTCTAGAAAGGAAGAGACGTCCTCCTCTCTGGTGTTTAAGGTCGAACAGAGACTGACCCATGTTGGGAAGAGCGCGAACACCGGTGGCTGGATGGCCGAAGACAACGGAGGTGCTGACTCCAGGAAAGGAGGCGAGAGAGGCCATTTTTTTGTATGAGGCAGAGGAGGGTAAGAGATGATGGGAGGCTGGCTAAATTAATGTAGCAGAGGAGAGAGCTTGTATTGTTGATAATGGTGAGGCTAGCTGGAAATATATAGTGTGGCCAGAAAAGAATAGGGTGGGAGATTCTAGTCACGTTCATAATCCACCATTAAGTCGGTGACTAAAATGACCTGAACAAATAATATGGAGATAATTTAATAATCAAGGCTTACGTTAAATTAATGGTTTTGTAAATCATATTGAGTTAAATAAAATAATCTTTATCCGATTTTTGAAAAGTTTTATTTAAATTTAGCATTGAAGAAGAGGTGTTGTACTTATTGGGATTTAAAAAATATATATATATAAAAATATAAATTTAAATAAAAATATTAATTGTGATAATATATTTTTATACTTGTAAATTGTTATGATATAACACCAAATATAGATTCCCTTTCATTCTCTATTATACCTGCTTCAACAATATTTTCTTTGTTAACTACTTGGTAGTATTGTTATTTTAATAAAGATGTAATAACGAAATGTAATTATGATTATTTATTATTTTATTAAGATCATATAATTTTGTTTAGTTTAATTATTAAAAATAATAAATAATTGATAAAATAATT